CGGGGTTCGCCGTGGGGAGCCTTAAAACTGCCCCTCCTTATCTCCTTTCATCGTTCAGCGCGGGGCCGCCTTGAAACCGTGGGGGCAGTAATTGCTTTTTTCAGGCAGCCCAGTGCGGACTGGCCAACAGCCAATCAGAGCCTTGTTTACACTCGATGATTGACAGCCCGCTGGCGGCTCGCCAACCAATCAGGAGCCTCTTACCGTCGAAGCCCTGAGATTTAACCCTTTGCCTCCACACATAAACAAACCGGCGCGGGAACATTAGCCTATAGCAGCTCATATGTTTCGACACGGAAACACACAAGCTCATATCCTTCCACTTTTAATTGACTAAATTAGTGAACCGTGGGCACGGCTAACCCCGAGGACAGTAACACTTTCAAATTATGCAGTGATTCAATTTGTCAGTGTGTGTGTGTGTGATAGGGGAAAGGGGGGGGGTTCAGGCAGGTACAGACATATGAAGTGTAAATTATTTAAAATATGTAGCTTTGTTTATTTACATGTAACCCGCTAACAAACTGTAAGTTTTACTTAAAAAAAAAAAATCCTAAAACTATGAGGTGAGGTGACATGGTTTCTGATCTTTTATGATAAATGTGTAAGTTTCAGCCCCGAGAAAAACATTTTTAACTCCCAGTGGACGAATACTGCGTATCAAAATTTATATATACCTGCAGAGCCACTTATTCTCATTGGAAAACGTCTTGTTTTAAAGCTACGCGAAAAGGTTTCTATTGCAGAACGCCAGATTCTGCTAATAAATAAAAAGGTCCAGCGGAACGGCGGATTTCCCCTCCGGTAGCATCCAGAAACGCGTCCCAGAGAACCGCTCCGTGAGCGGAACGGGCTGCACGCTGTCCGCTCTCTCTGAGCCGGGCCGGGCCGTGCCGTGCCGTGCCGTGCCGCCTGTCTCCTCGCGTTTGCTCGCGCACGCAGATCACCGAGGGGGTTTGCAAATCAAACGCCCGCCGTTTCCGCTCCTCGGCTCCGGGCTGCTCCGCCATTGGCCCGTCGCTGCAGCCAATGGCGGCTTATGTTTACCGTCGAAGGAGGTAGTTGTGTGTGCCTGTGTGCGTATGTGTGTGTGTGTGTGTGTGTGTGTGAGTGCGGGGTGCGGTGGTGGGGGAGCGCCTCACGGGCACGCTTTCACATTGTAGTTCTCAAACCAATAGGCCTGCGCGTCCACCCCTTCCCCGCGCACACACCCCCTTTCAGCCTCAACCTCCTCTACCTCCTCCTTCCTCCCTCCTCCTCCCACCCCTCCTCCTCCTCCTCCCCCTTCTCCTCCTCCTCCCGGCGTGTCTGAGTCTCGGGCTGCATGAACGAGCCTCGATTCACTACAAGCCTGAACTTCTCGGCTGCGTCTCTGCCATAGCTCCGCCGCGTCCCGGCGCAGTCCACAGCAGCAGCACAGGATGTAATCAATCCCACATGTTTCATCTCTGCGACTCGGGGATTTTTCGCTTTGAATATTTTTTCTACTTTTTTTCTTTCCTTTATGCCCCCTTATACGCTCGCCACGCAGTGGATCTTAACTTATACCAGTAAGTCTCAGCTCGTTTTTTTACATCTTTTCTTTTTCGGATCATTCAGCGTTTATATACTGAATGAGCGTTTTTTTTTCAGCTCAGCTCTCTCTCTCTATCTCTAAATATATTTATGCAAGATAGGATTTTTGCGTTTTATTTAAGCAGGAATTTACCAGAATAATATATTTTTTTAAAGGAAATACTTCCACGTTCACTGTCATTTGCTTCCCTTTTGGAGAAGATGTGTATATCCAAACGTAGACTCGTTATTTTGAGATGACTAATCTGTAGACATCTCCCATTCATTATCTGCGTTAAGGTGACAGATCTCACGGGTTAGCGGTATTTTCAGGGTTTCGTTTCAGGTAATTCTCAACTGAGCCGGGCTGAGCTGGGTGTCACTTTTTTTTTAATTTGGTTTTGTTTTGACCACTCTTCGCAGCCGGAACACTTGTTCCTTTTCCAACGATTTTACTCTTAACCCCTGTCGCTCGTCACTGAAGCTCGTCCTGTACAAACTTGTTTTCTAAATGCTAGATTTGGGCTTTGTTAGCTTCCTGTAGCGCAAGTGTGTCAGACAGAGAGACGCACGGGGGTTTTCTCTCTCCTCACCGGGGCTGCGCACACGCCGGGCTGCTCTCCCCTCTCCACCGGCCTCTGAACGCTCGGGTTCCAGGCGCCTGTTACGCTTTGTGACTTTATTTATTGTAAAAATTGCTGAGGGCAGCGAGTTGGCCTCTGGATCCATCCACCTCAAAAGTAAACTCCTTTTAGATCCTTTTTTATTTCAAATGTTTGTTTGCATTTATCTATTTATTCATTTGTCCAGGGGTCAGCACATTTGGGATTGAATGTCCGCACTAAAGGGGTGTTTTTTCCTATTCATAAAATAAATAAAAAACTCGGTTCCATTAGATCTGACAAATACAATTCTTTGCGGATTTGCTGGCTTTTGTGCAAAGTTGGTGTAATGTCGCCCTGACCGGCAGCGGTTACTTTTGTTGAGGGGGTTTTCGTCTGGCGATAGTTTGACCCTTTCCAGGGCAGCGATGTGTGTGCGTGTATGTGTATGTGTGTGTGTGTGTGAGTGTGTGTGTTTGCGTGCTCGGGGAGGTGTGTGTGTGTGAGGTTCGGGGGAGACTTTGACTGGAAGGAAGTCTGATCGCCTTCCACGTTGGCTGTGCGCGTACACGCACACGCGTACACGCAGTATTGCTGATGATAAAAAAAAAAAGATCATTTTTGACCAAACCGTTACGCACGGACTGTCCACGTCGTTTTTTTTTTTTTTTTTTTTTTTTTTGGCGTGGCGTGTGATAACACGGATTTTTAGATTCAGGTTGTTAAATGTAGCCCGAGTGGCTCTCCGTTGACGTGGAATGTAAACATTTAGGACTCGGGGTTTACGGCCTGAAAATGTTAAAACGTATATAGACGAGCGTCAGAGCAAAGTGGTGTGTGATTGATGTCCCGTGGAGAGGGGGCCATTGTTTCAGCCGGCCTGGGGGACAGGAGATGGCCCGTTCCTCCTTCCCCGTGCGTCCCTCTCCCCCCTTTTTGTTAATCCCCATTTCTCCCAACGCCCTGGACCACATATGCTACAAAGGGATAACGCGGTGCTCGGACGCAAAAAAGGGGGGAAATTTAATCATTCAAACACACGCGCAGTCTGGCCAAAAGACCTCCACGGGAAACGTTTGCTTATTCCACGCCGTGGAGTGGACACGCCAAACGTGCATGCGTAAATACGCGAACACGCAGCCTGTCAGAGCTGTGGAAGTTTGGAGGGGTTTTTTTTTTTTGGCTTCACGAAAGCGAAGGGGGGGAAATCTCGAAAGTTGGGAGTGTTTGCGTTGTCCGTGTGTGAGCGCGCGCGTGTCCAACAAGAACGCGAAGAATAACAGAGAGCCCGTCCCATGCAGGCTCTGTCCTCGTGCAGTTTATAAGCTCCTGGTCCATCAGAGCATTTGATATTTTCTTTGTTCCTGTATGGTGGGTTCCTGCATGGGAGGCGCCATCAGCATCCGCGGGGCCCGAAAAGCCCGAACAGAAGCGCTGCTGAGGTGTGTTTGGGGAAAACACGCACCCACATTTCCCCATTGTGTCACAGGGAGCCCTATTTGAGTAAATGACCGAGGCTATGAGGGACATAAAATCCTAGTCTATTTCCCTGTTTATTGCACAAAGGTGATTTGATTTGTGTTTGTGATTACTGTGTAGCCTATATATTTATACAGTGTGTGCGTGCGTGTGTGTGTATGAGTGTGTCTGTGCGCAGTGAAACACACACGCACGGTGTTTTGCCATTGTCAAGAGGCACAGGGCCACTATGGGTTGAGACGTTCGGAATAGCTGTTTGGTTCCAGCGTTCCTCAATAAGCAAAACCACAAATAACGACCCCGATTCCAGCTGGGGGAACTATACAGAAGGTAAAAACTGGGATATGTTCGCGCAAAACACACCAAGCATATCCAAGGTTACTGCTGAATCCTCTCTGCACCAGCTTTTTTAAAATGTTTTAAATAAAGTGTTTTCTTAAAAGACAAAACACAGTCAGGAGATCAGATTTATTGTTAATTGGGTAGAAAAATTACCAGATGTAAATTTATATAAATCGCTCCCAGTATTTCTGTCAGTTCGGAACTCTACAGGCATGGGAATTGCTCCAAGTCCCCATAAGGATAAAAACTGATTTTGTGCAGATGGATTTCTTAATGTTTTAGTGCAAAAGCCCCGAGGTCCGGCTTGTTTATGACCAGTCCTCGTTGAGTCTAGACTTATAACATCTCCCTCATCGAGAGTCATCTTAACCTGCTGCGAACTGTTTCAACGCATACGTGCAATTGTTTGTTCTCCAGCCAGACCTGCATGTCCTCTCCCCCTTCCCCATTCATTTCGCTGGTAAAGGAATTATCTCGTGCGCTTTATTTGCATCGCGTTTGTCATAGCGTGTGCGTCTTTTTTCGTGGGGAGTCCACTGTTTTCGGTGTGGCCAGCGATGTGGAGCAAGATAAATCTCCGCGCACTCGTTCTTGGTCGTGCTTCCACCAGATTTGATTCACCTTCGTGGAACGATTGAACGTCAAAAATATTGACAGCGCAGCAAATGCGCAAAAAAAAACAAAAAACATGTGGAGTTTGTATAGTCGCCCCAATCCAGCTTGTTAGTCTAAACTTTAGCAGCGACTGTCTCTTCTCCCAGCCTTTTTTTTCCTCAGCGCCACATCCCTGCTCGGCTCATTCTCGTCTCCTGCTCTCTCTTTTTTTTGCAGAACATGACGGGGACTCCGTTTCTGCCCAGCAAAGCCAAAACTCTGCTCGGCGCGAGGGGAGCCCGAAGTTCATAAAAAGGGATTATTTGCATCTGGGCGCATAAAAACCTTTTCGGCTGGCTCCGGAATTTTTTTTTTTTTTTCCACTTTGGATTTGGGATTTATCGCTCTCTCTCTCTCTCTGTCGTCGGGATGGAAAGCCGAGATTTCGCCCCTCCGCACCACCTCCTGACGGAGCGGGGCGCCCTGGTGCACGGGGCCGGGTCTCGGATGTCGCCGGCCGGCCACGGCTCTGTGCAGCACCCCGCTCACTTCCAGCCCGGGAAGTACTACTCATCCCACCTCGCCATGGGTCCGCACTCAGGTCAGTCTGACGCCCGCTTTCTTTCTTTTTTTCCGGCGTATACGGGACAAATCTGTCTTTGAAAACGAGCAATCTGCTGCCTTTTTTTCTCCTTCTTATATGTGGCATATGTTTTCCATTTGACAAACTCGGGGAAACTTTGAAACTCCGCGCTGACGATCTAGAAAATGTTTCACGTGGAGGCGTGGGAGTGGGAGGAAGGCGACTTTGGAAGAGTTTAGAAAATGAGGCACAGGCATTTTTCAAGACCTTTGCTGTTTTCCTTTATTTAATTAACTGTGTATGGCAGTGCTGCTTGCAGTGATACAAGGAAATATATAAATATAGCGTTGTAGTGCATGCTTATATATAGCCTATAGGCAAAATATGTGGGAAGAAAATCTAACCACTTTTGCAAATAACTTTCATCTTACAACCCAGCTCACTTTTTACACTGGGCGTTAAAGCTCTCAAGAATGCAAAAATATTTCAAAATTATTAGTTATTTTACCACAAAAGTCTAGTTTAGGTCCAGTTTCTTTTTAATGCAGTTAATTCCAGTTGGGTATTTGCATTGTTGTTGTCTCCCATTAAGCAATTATTCAAAGGTATCGGAGCCATTTCTCTACGGTGTCCTCTCTTTCATATTTGCATAGCTGCTTGATTTGGTGCTGATAAATTCGGGACACATGGTCCCAAAGTGGTTGCAGTGGTGGCCAGTGAGACGCAGCTCTGGCTATAGAGGTGCGGGTAATACGAGAAAATCCGGTTTCTATATTGAGCCGGGACGTGACGGGGTGCGAATGAGTTGACAGTGCATGCATTAGATTTAACAAGTAGCTTTGGTATCTTGTCGAAATAGTGTGTGTGTGAGTGTGTGTGTGTGTGTGTGTGTGTGTGTGTAGGAAGAATGCTGAGCTGTACGCATTAATTGCATATCTAGTTTTTACATTGATATTAATCGTATACCTGCATTAACGTGTCTGAGAAATTCCTTTTATTATCATTTGCAAATGCAGCTGTTCAGGCGCTGAAACTTTGTGTATTATCTTCTTGATAAATCCTTTATCTTATAATATTCAAAATCATGTATGTAAAAATGCGTGTGTGTGTGTGTATACATAGTGTGCATGAGAATAATGCATTTGTTATTTTGTCAGACACATTTCACTGGCAACATAAACTTTAACAAATGGCTTTGTGTGAAACATCTTTTTTATTTATTTTATTTCTTTTATCGTACTTTATTCTACAAGCTGACCATAATTTATGTCACGTTAACAATTCATTTCTGATATTTTGTCAAATATTCCGCTTCATGTCTCTTACAAACTCAACCGAAATGATTCACCCCTAATATCCGTGTCATTTTTTTTTTTTAATAATAAACACTCATCTGTCTTGCATAACAATTCAAATACGTCTTTGACTGATGTTGCTTCTCGCTGATATGCATTACAGCCCAATTTAAAAGCGATTCTGTAATGTTGAAAGAGGGAATAAGCATAGTAATGCGGGGCGATAATGCTATTGAAATATATTCAAGAGGGCCTCTCACTGGGTCTCAAGGTGCATGACACTGTATTGAGATTCCAGGTATCCAGGCTCTCCATGCATGTCCCTTATGGGGTTTTGACTGACATGATGGGCATGGAGGATTGTTGTTTTGGGGGGTGGGGGTTGGGGCATGGTGTGTGTGCGTTTGGTGGGAGGTTAGCATGGAGAGAGTGCGGTGTGGTGTGTGTGTGTGTGTGGGGGGGGGGGGTTACCTTTGTCCTTGCCCCCCTTAGAGATTCAGAAAGCTCTATGCCCTGCCCTAGGCTTCTGCACAGGGGGTAGATGTGATGTGAAGCTGGCCATAGCAAAGCAGGGGGGGGGGGGTTATGACAGGGCTTCGTTTTAGATCTTTGTAAGGACACACACACACACACACACACACACACTCTTTATACAGTCTCATTCTACCAGATTGGGTGTATCGTTTACAGAAATTCCAAGTTTAAAGGAAAAGAAGCAAAAAAAAAAAAACGACTCCCCTCATTCTCGTGTTTCTTCATATCCCAGAAAAAACCTGCAATCCATCAATTTGCCGAAGCCTCTTATTTAGATCAGCATGGTGTCTGCCTGACTATGGTGGCTCTTGACGAAATGATGGAATGACAGACGTAGCGCCGTAAGACCCGGCCTCCATTTGATAACCCCCCCCCCCCAAATTCTATTACACAGGCGTGTAGATTAGGAGCAGTGGGAAAGCCTTTGTCTCTGTCTGTCTGTCTGTCTGTCTTCCCATTTTCACTTCCTTGGTCATATCCCTGCCTCTCTTTTTCTCTCCTCCATGCTTAGTGATGTTAGCCCCTGGGCAGTAGTTGTGCAAGAGTGCATAGTGTGTGTGCGCGCGCGCGTGTGTGTGTGTGTGTGTGTGGGGGGGGGGGGGGGTGATTAGGGTTAGGTTTAGCCTGCAGTAGCACAGGTGTGCAGCATTATGGAGGGCGTGGTGGAGCTTGTCATTGAACAGGTGTGTTACCTCGCACACAGCAGAAGGTTTTGTTTACACGACCGCGCACGCGAGCGAGTGTGATGGTAATACAAGAGTTTACATTCATCCCGTGTGCGCTGCTCCATATACACAACGTGCTTTCGTTCACGAACTTTGAAGGGTTTCTGTCTCAAACTGCTTTTTAAAAAAGCCCAAACATGCGCTTTTACGGAGATCATCCCCTGTCCTGCTTCCTCCTCTACTTTTAGGTCCTTCCTGTTTGGCTCTTTTTTCCCCCCTTCTGACTTTTCTCTTCTTTTCGTCCCGCGTTCAGTCCATAACCCAGCTCTTAAATTCGTCTGCAAGCGCGTGCAGCCGGGAATACGCGTCCATTCATCCCATTCCTGCCACCTACCATCTCTCCTGGAAGTTTGTGGCCTTTGATGGCCACGGCAGTAACAATGACACACACCCCGTCAAACCTCCCTCCACGCGCACACCTTCGCGTACAAGCATTAGGAGAGAGAATGACGTATCTGTGAGCGCGCGAGTGTGGACCCCCGAGTGCGCGCTCGTGGAATGTGAGATCCTGAGATGTTTGGCTATTGCAGATGTGGGGTGACTCTTGTGTGTGTGTGTGTGTGTGTGTGTAGTCGTGTTAAAAGACAAGGCTGAAGCAAAGCCCTGTCTCTGGTTAGATAAAGAGAGAGAAGCAAAGCAAGGATAGGGCCTGGAAAGAGGAGGAACAGCATTGTAGGGGGGGTGGGGGGGGTGGAGGGGGTAGATTGGCTGAATGTTTCCACCTGGTTGGTAATCCAGTCAGATTACCACCGCCTGACAGCCCCCACCAGCCGTCATCCCCGACTCCCCAGCCCTTCAGGAGTGTGAGTGAGTGAAAGCAAGACAGAGGAGACGCTGGGCTCCCTGTGTGTGTGTGTGTGTGTGTGTGTGTGTGTGTGTGTGTGTGTGTGTCAGAGAGAGATATGAGTCAGCAACGGATGGGACCCAGTCAGGAACCCCCCCTGACCCCCCCTTTCTCCAACTAACCAGCTCCACCCAGGGTACAGGGGGCACATCTTGGGTGCAGCATGCAAGACGGCCCCCTGCCTGGAGGAGACAGCTGGCCGAGGCTGCGGCCAGCCGAGCTGAGACTGGAAGAAGAAGAGTGTAAACTGTCAATTCTGTTCATTTCAAGAAAGACAGGGGGGAAAAAAAAAAAAATTGACTCTGACCCAAATTGGATCAATACCGGACCTCGCAATAGCGGGGGCCCCGCACGAATAAAGAAAACCATTAAATACAATTTGCTGCTTTTAGTGTCCAATGAAAAATGAATAGAACAAAGTCTGTAACAAAATCATGCCATGTGTGTATTTTTTTTCATACTGACTAATGTGTCAAACGAGCAACATGTCATTTTAGGGAGGATTTAAGCTTCTTCTGGGTTTTTTTTTTCTTTTCCAAACCCAAGCGAGAAGCCCTCAGTTACACAAAAGTCTGCATTAGATTGAATGGAACTGAGGAAGGAGCTTTTGCTGTTCCTACATGGGGATAATGCCATGATTTAAAAGCTATTTGTTACCCACGTAAGTTCCCTCTCTTTTTCAAAATGACCTTTTACATGTGTGTTACTGGTTTGAAGCCCACATAAGTACGGCTCCCTATCCATTTGTTGAATAATGTATGCAGCAAGGCCGGAGAAACCCGTTCAATGCAACCGACTGTTTGAATATGTCGACACAGTAAAAGCATTAAGTCATTAGATAAGGCCGGTGAAATCATTAAAGGCATTTCCATTACAAATGAGACTCTTGTCCATGCTTTGATATTTCCAGAAAGCCATTGCACATCATTTGAATGTGTTCCTGAATGTCCGCCCGCCACTATAATCACATTGACCTCGGACTAACGGCGGGCCGGATTTGAGCTGTCCGAAAGGTGGATTTCGAAAGTTGAAAAAATGAAGAGTGCGAAAACCTGTTTGATGTGGGAGTTTGGAGCTCAGCTTGCATTTGTTCTGAGGCACATTTGCCGCTCTGACAGAAAGACTTTTGTCTGTTCTCCAGCTCTCATCCAACAGGAGAACAGCTGCTTATTGTCGGTAGCAGTGATTTGAAGGGAGTGGGGTGCGTTTGGTTGCAACATCTCCGGGGTGTGAACACACACCACCATCTGATGACTTGGCATGTGAATGGAAAGCACCAGACTTCCTGTGTCCATGTTCTCTTTTCTCTCTCTCTCTCTCTCTCTCTCTCTCTCTCCCTCACTCTTGCTCCTCTTTCCCCTTTTCTTTCCCTCCCCGGCCAGACCTTCATTCCTTCCTCGCTCCTCCCCTCTTCCCTCTTCTGCTTTCCTATTTCACTTCCCCTTGACGAGTGCGTTTGTTCCTCTCTGCTTTTTCGAGTGGTGCTCCAGCCCTCCTTCCTCCTCCTCCTCCTCTTTCCTCCTCCTCCTCCTCCTCCTCTACACAGCCATGTTCCTCCCCACTCGTCTTTGCTCTCTTCTCTCTTTTCAATCGATCCCCACACCTCTTATATCTATCTCCTGTCTCTGTCTAACTCCACACACACACACACACACACACACCCGCGCACACAAGCACACGCACACACACACACACACACACACACACACACACACACACACACACACACACACACACATCGCCTCCTTGCTGTTGTTAACAGGCCAGCCTCTCTTTACACTCCTCCTATTTCTTTTCTTGCCCCCCCCCACCATCTCCCCTCCCACACCCACTCCCCCCCCCTCACACCCCTCCCCACACCGCACGGCCGGTTGTTAACGGGCCTGTCCCGGTGCTACTCGGCCCATGGCTAACTCACTAAATCAGAAACGTTTGGAGGATTTGGCAAGAGGGAGTGAGAGCTCAGTGAGGCGCCTTTGAAGTCGGAGCAACCAGAGAAAAATGACATTTTAAACAGCCCGCAAAACACAAGGCTAAAACAGCTTCTTGTAGTAAGAGGGAAGGGGGGGGGAGGGGAGGAGGTGTGCAACCATGTGTAAGTGTGTTTTCATTTACAAGTGCATTGTGAGGTGTTTGAATTTGTGGCCGCTGTGGCTATTATTCACCACGGTGCACGAAAGCCTCGCATGACACCTAAAGAGAAAAGTGTATGCGCGCACACTGTAATTGCCTGCTTTTAAAGGATTTTCTTTTATTTATTTTTATGGCTTCCTCTTCAGAGGGGGTCAAGGCAATTCCGTGTTTACGCTGCGTGACAGGAGGGGTGACATCACGCAGACGTGATGTCACAGTCTGGGCTGGTTCTCACGTCGGCCTGAAAACGCACACCGGCCCAAGCCAGACGGCGCGGCCATGGCAACGCTTGCAACACCTGAGAGGCCGGCCTCTCAGGGGTCACGGCGGTGCCTGACTCATCGTCACTGGAGCTGACCGCCCTCCTCTCGGGGCCGTGCCGTGTTTTGGTTCTCCGCTCGATTCACTTCAGCTCCGTTTGGCTCATTCATATTGTAATGGCCTCCATTCAGGCTGGTTTATGTCCAGTTTGTTTTGCTGTCAGGGGCTTAGATGGATGGCGGGGGCCGCAGGTTCACCCGGAGGTGAGGTTAAAGAAGGCCGAGCGGTCAGACGGCCTCCTGAATGGAGGATCCTTCAGTTTTCATGAGTCACCCCACCGGCGGGGCTCGGATTGAACAGATTTAGCATTTGGTAGGAAAGACGGCTAATGTGAACCTAAATAGAAAACGGGTACATATTTGTGTGTGTGTGTGTGTGTGTGTGTATGTGTGTTTGAGTTGGAGTAAGATGGTAAGAAAAAGAGAAAAGCAGCTGTGTGGAACAGCATGGATCGTTACACAGCGACACACATGAAAGCATTAAGTATATTCAGGAGCCTTTGTTGAATATACATGGAGCTCAGAGCAGCATTGTGTGTGTGTGTGCGTGGTGTGTGTGTGTGTGTGTGTGTGTGTGTGCATTCTCTCCAGTGTTCTTGCCCAGGCTGAGAGTTGCGAGAAGGAAAACAAGAAAAGAGAGCAAGAGAGGGAGTTAAAAAAAAAAACAACCCAAAAAAAAAAACAAAGATCTGTCATCAGTCATTCATGGCTAATCAGTCTCATGGGACGTTCACACTCCACACAAACACACACACTCACACACAGCACGAAGGTCCTAATCCTACAGGGACTCCTCACGCCTCTGTATGTGCCTGTCTAAATTTTGGAACCCGGCTGATTAGAAGCTAGCTGCCTCTCCTCTACCTCTATTTTTTCCCCTCCGTCTCTTTTGCTCTGCATCTTTCATGGCTGGTAAAGTGACTCTCCTACTTCTCACTGTTTTTCCTCTCTTGTCTTTTTAATAACCACCGACTGCCTTTTCAGTCCATTTTGAGTTTTTTAAATCTATTTATTTAATTAATTTTATCATTTTTTTTGTTAGCGTGCCCACGTGTAATATAGGGACTGTGTGGATATGCACTCACATATACTCTTTTTTATTTTCTTTTTCATTTTTTTTGTGCACATGTTCTATATTAATGAGTCTGTGTTTCAACTTATTCATCATCAGTGTTATCTGTTGTTCACATTTTATACCAGTGTCTCACCCCCCCCCCAAATCAAACTAGGTTGACTAAAGTTCCTACTGCTCATTTCCGTCGCCAAATAGGATCTGAATACAACATATTCACATGAGAGACCGAACATAACCAATTACATGAAGACATATGTCTTAGACAATGTAATCTGATAGATGTAACAGCTAATAATAGAGAAAAAAAAAGAACCACTTCATGGGTTTCATACTTCACTTGTGGTTTGTTTTAGCTGCCAAACAGTTCACCATTATTCACAGAGAGGAGATTTCTTTTTTACATAGACTATGGTGATGTTTTATTTATTTATTTATCTAATCATAGATACTAATCTATTATTATATCATCTATATTTATTTATTGTTTACGCAGATTGCTGCATTTTGTAATGAGGTAAACCTCTGTTCCAACAGATTGTATCACTGAAAACTGCTTGAGATGCATATAAAATAACAGGCAACTTATATGAATAGTCAGCTAATGAACCCCACGTCTGCACTAGATTAAACGAATAGAGGAATATCCTGAATTATGCGAAACTCTATACTCTCTGGATTGAGCCCATGTACTGGGGGGGGGCCCTGAGTTCAAATGGCCCTTTCCTGCATACCTCTGCCTCTCTCTCTCTGCGCCCCTTTCCTGTCAGACCACTGTCAATAAAGGCCACTAGACCCTACAAAACCTTAACAATTGCATGAACCTAAACTGTAAATAGCAATACATGGTAATATTGAGTTACAACTCTGTGGAAAGATCTGATTTATCATTGATTTTGAGAGTAAGAAAAATGGTCCCAACAGTCACCAAAAATCAGAGGGGCAACTTTAATTAGTTTAAACCACTCAGACAAAAGAACACTTAGTTGATCATTCATTAAGATAATGATAATAAATCATCAGTTTAAATATTTTAAAGCGTCTGTGTTTTTTCTGAAAGAAAAAAATAAAAATGTAACTACCAATTATCAAGAGTGTTTCATTTCTTTGAAGTATTATTGCGAATCCCACACTGATGGTCAGAGTAAATATACTAAATCTTTTCACTATCACGGTTTTGTCAGGTTTTTATTTGCGATGGTTGACTGTGCTGTTGTAAAGAGGCTAAATTGCTTTACCATTTCTGTACCTTGGTCAAGGTCTAAGGTTTTCTTTAAAGGCTTTTTTTGTGTGTAAGTGTGTTTTAATCTAGGATTCATTTGAAGAAATGCTGAAATAAAGTGGACTTTTAAGGAAAATGCCAAACATCCAAAAGTCTGAAGATTTAACTGAAGATGTAGCTCTTTTCTCTTTTTATTCTCTACTTTTTTTGCATCACGAATCCAGAAAGCATTTCAGACTGAATTGTTAATTAAAATAATCATTAGGTGAGATGGATTTTTTCTCCACACCATCGGCTTTATTCCCTGCCTCTCCTTTTGTTTATTTTCCTTTTCCATTCTTTTCATTTCTCCTCTGCAGATCTCTCCAATAAACCTTTATTCCTGTGTAAATATAACAGTAATGAGGGAATATAAAGAATGGAAAAGCCATGCTGAAATAAGGTCAGGCTGGGTTACTCTCACCTGCTCTCTCTCTCTCTCCTCCACCCCCCCCCTCCTTTGCTCGTCCCTCTGTTGTGTTCGCTGTCTGCTGATCTCGCTCTTCTCTCTCTTGTTCGGTCTCCTCTCCCTTCTCTCACACACACACACACAGGCGTGCGCTCACTTTCTGACGCCCACGCGTTCGCTGTACTTGCAGACACGGGCGTACACACACACACACACACACACACACACACACACACACACACACACACAGACGCTGGCACTGGCGTGCACAAATCCAGACCCAGACACCTGCACGCCGAGCCGTTGAGGGCCTAATTTAGGTAAAGTGCTTCTCTGGGAACCACAACCCCCTCAACTCACGATGATGGAGGGCGATGCACTGTGAAGGGGGTTGAACATACACACATGCACACACGTAAACACACACACACACACGCTGAGTTATACAAAGACGCACACACATCTCCCTACTGATACTGAGATATGATTCTCCTCGGTCTAGGACTGAGGGAAGGCTTGCAAGTAGCATGTTGCAATAATAATGTGATATTTGATCCCTGCAGAGAGATTCACAGCCTCCCTCCTAGCTGCTGGCAGACCCGACCCTATGGTCAGTTAAGGCCGTGACAGTTGTGCTGGGAAACGGTGGTGTTTTTTTTCTCTAAAGGACCCTTCAGTTGAACGTGCGCTAGCAGGACTTGGATGTGGTTAAATCTGGTTCTCAAAGGACGTGGTTTCCTCCCGTTCGGCTGCTGCTGTGTAGGTGTGTTTGTTTCCACTGGCGTTCGAGCTAACTTTAGCCCCAGGTGGGATTGCGCTGCACCGTTGCTGCAAATCTTTTTTGCTGCAGTCACACGCACGAAAAAAGCTTTCAAGTGTTTTTTTTTTCATAATTTGAGTCCAATAACAGACTGAAGAGAGAAAAGTTAAAATAAAACTGAGTGGCGGTTGGGTTTTTGCTTGAAAATGTACAAGAAAACAAAAGAAAAGATTCTCCTGGCAGTTTTTGACATTTCAAATGTTTGTAAACCTTTCAAAGCTGCTTTTACCTAAGGAAAATGTAATATTTCCATTACCCTTTTTTCTTTCTTTGGCAACCCGGGACAAAGGCTTTAAGACTGGCATTTACTTTGCCCCTTAAGACTGCCTGTAAATACATGGTGGAATTAGAAGGCACTTGGAATCGTATGTGGCCTGATTTGATCTCCTGAGAGAAATACCTGGCCTTAACGTTTTCCGACACTTGTCAGCATTTTCCTTTTTTATGCTTTTTCAGTGACATCCTCAAACGAAAACATAACCCTGAATGATTTACTTTGTCTTTCTTCCTAATTAATCACGTGGGGGGAAAACATTCCATTGTTCAATTTCAGTGGACTTGTGCAAAAAAAAACACCAAAAAAATGGTGTCAGCATTAACACCGAGCCAAGATTTGACAGCTTGGGAATGACAGAATGGACGAAGAATTAAAAAAAAAAAGACAAATGTTGCCCGCAATTATTTTGATAAAGCCCAAAGATGAAACAGTTGTGGTCATCACTGGAAGCTGAGCTCCAAACACGATGCCAAGCCATTGCGTCGCAGCCGTCGTATGTTTTCTACTTTGTTTAGATTCACGATTGTAATCGGGACTAGTGTTAATGAGTAACCGAGCCACATATCGCCTAAATGGCTAACCCTGCCATACATTACAGCTAAAAGGTAGTAAACTCGTGACAGGTGGTAAACTTCAGACGTGTTTGAGCTTCGGCGTGTCATGAGAGCCATTGATAAACACAACTGTGTGTGTTTGCCGTGGCGCGGCCGTGAATGGACCACAGAGGCGTGGCACAGGCCTGTCAGACAGGGAGACGACCATAACTCCCAGAACACGGCTCCTCGCTCTGCACACACACACACACACACAGACGCACACAAACACACACACAAGTCAAAAAAGAATTGACCCTCACCGCAGGCTTTCCTGAAATATCCTGCAACCTTATGTTTTTAATCAGCATGTCTAAGCGTGTGTGTGTCTACGTGCCTGAGCATTTGTGCCTCATTCTATCTCAGAACTAGTGTCCTCTGGTCCCCCTTTTCCCCCCAAAACTCCTCATCTTCTTGGGTAAAACATGTCAAACTTACTTAATTGAAACTTACTTTGA